GTATTATATATATATATATATAGGGAATTGTTAACATACTCTCACCTATTTTTTAGTTAGAGTATGTTAACAATTTATACCAAAATTTTAGGACAAAAAAAATCACTCATTTCTTTTGATTTGGTTATTTGTATAAAGGATATTATAGTAATTTAATTTAATTCTAAAAGAAAATAAAAATATTTTCTCTCTCCTGTTAACTTTATTCTAATTCTATTAATTTAATTTTAAAAGAAAACAAAACATTTATTTTTCTCTCTTATTAACTTCATTCTTCAACTCATTTTTCTCTCATATTAAATTTCTTTTCCAACTCATTTCTCTCTCACCTCTCATGATGTCCCCCCCTCTCTGTCTGAACAAATAAAAATTAATTAATAAAATAGATAAATGAGTTGGAGAATGAAGTTAATAGGAGAAAGAATATATGTTTATTTTCTTTTAAAATTAAATTAAATTACTATAATATCATTTATAAAAATTAACGAGATTAAAATAAAAGAGTGGTTCTCTTGTTCTAAAATTCTGGTGTAAGTTGCTAACATACTCCAACTAAAAAATAAGTGAGAGTATGTTAGAAATCTTCTCTCTCTCTCTCTCTCTATATATATATATATATATATAGCATTAATATTATTTTTTTTTAAATCAGTAGAGATCAGATCATGAGGTTCAATTAGATGATCTTTAAAACCTACTTGCATAGACTCACTATCCTACAACAAAACATGTATGCATAGATTCTACCAATAACACCACATTATCACAAACCGAAGCCTTACACTTATCCACCATAAAAAAAACCCTTATTAAATCTCATCAATGTCAATCGCAACTTGGATTTACATGTTTAACATCATCACATGTCATAACATTATACATTATGGTTATTCGTATTAATCATTCATCACATATTATAGCATTATAACATCATTTACCAATGTCTCAAATGTTGCACACATCATTCTCAAGTCAAACATTCACATTTCATATTATATATAGGCACAAAGCTTATAAACATAATTTCACACTTTCATCATAACTCACTTTTCACTTATCCATAACTATCCTCTCTAATTATTATTATTAGTATTTCAAACATCTCAAGATTAAGTACTTAAAGGATAAAACAACCCATTGTTACAACTCATATACTATCTTTTTTTATCTCAAGCTTTTATGACATTGTGTGATTTAAACACAATATCTAGAGTTGTACCCATGCTATCAAGTTAATATTAATTTATTAGAAAGTTAAGATAATTAATTATCTACGACTTTTATGTTGACCTTAATAGTTGATTTTATCATCTACTATTTTTAAAATTTACAAAATCATATTATTTTAGCCTAATTTTGATAGTTTGACCTTTATTCATTAATTTGACCATAAATTTAGTTCTAAACCTCCTTTTTGGTTGATTCTAACACCATTGAAAATCCAACATTCAAGACTACAACTCTTATGAATATTACAAATCCTAATTCGGTAATTTAAGGGTCCTCGTAGGGCTTACCCATTATAGATGTTACCTTTTGCATGCAAAATGTGAAACTCATACTGTAACTCGCATAACTCGGTCATTTATTAATATTTTTATGTGATTCTTAAGTCTAAGTTGTAGGTCCAAAAGTTTACTCTCCAACCCAACAAATGAAACTCTATATGGTTAATTGCACAAAACGAAATCACCTAATTACCAAGGTATATTCATATTAGAATTTTCATAATTAATCAAATCACACTAAAACTCCAAAGTCATACATACAACCTTAACCCTCAAATATTAAAACACATAATAATGCATAATTCATCACAATTAATCACAAAAATTACAACAACATCATCATACAACAACATTAATCCTAGAAACATCAACATCTTATCAAAACACAAACAATTATAAGTCCTTCATAGGCTTAGGAGTTGCTTCACTATCCATATCTCTCATATATGCACATGAATGAGACACTCTCACCCCTTATTTAACTTGAGTGGTGGTCCAATAATACTATGCTTCTTGTAGCCTTAGTCGCTACTCCACACTCTCTTCGATGACATCCTTTAAGTTTACCTATGCAGGTGCTCTTAGGATTTCAGAACGATGCATAATGTTAACCTTACCTTCATTTTTGTTTTTAAAAGCCTTCAAGTTGGTTTCAAATTCCAACCCAAACTCTCCTTCCTTTTCTAACCCCTTCTTATTTTATTTAATTAGTAAAAATATTATTTATATTATAAAGTTTTAATATTTATTAAATTTTAATATTTATGCATATTTAAGTAATGTGACATTTACTAACATGACGTTTAAAAAAAATAAAAATAAAAATAATATGTAAATAAGATTTTTTATTAATAAAACAAATACCAATTACTCATAAAAATAAATGAAAATCTTTTGTATGCTATTTTTTAATCTTTATCTATATATGTCACATCACTAAATATTATGTTATTTAAGAGGTGGTAGATCACCAAACAACGTTATTAACAATTAACAAACATCAATTGAGGAATCAAAAGTGGAATTTAGTCTTAAACAAATTACTATAGGAACCAAAATTACTATGGTTGTTTTATGTTGGATTTTAGTTGTGTACAGTAAAGATTTTGGGTTAAACTAGGCACTAGTTAACTTCGACTAATCACTAAATGGACAATAATATTTGGTATGAAGATATCCAACATTTCATTGACTCCCTGCCTAGTAACTGTCTAACATTTTATGTATTAAAAAAATATCACTCTTATTTTAAAGAGTATTGACATGTCTACCAAAATTACTAATATTGATAATGTAAGAAAAATAAAACCTTAGTTTATAACTTATAATAGCAGATATGGTTTATAATTTATAATAACAAAAATATATCTCTCATAGTCATTCCTATCAAAGTATTAAATATATAAAAATATTTAGATATTTAAAGAAATAGGGAGAATTCTTTTAGTCTTTGCTTTTTCTTAAGCCTATTAGATAGTGGTACACCATAAATCATTTTATAGACAAGACTAGGGACCCTCTAACTTATTATCTTAATAGTTCTCTATTGGTTCCTCCATTAAAAATTAATAAAACATGTTTATTATAACTTTTAATAGTTCTTATTATTATAACATCTCCTTATTATCAAACAATTAATTATATTAATAAAATAATTAAATTAAATTATGAGTTAGATAATATTTTTTTCATCAAATAATCGATATATATTTATATCAATAATGTGATAAGTGTGTTTTTAACACTGCATGTATTTTTGGAAAGAAAGTAAACGTATTCCATCAAGTTGTATAAGATTATAACGGGTGACTAAATTCTTCTTCTACATATTTATTTAAACTAAAACAATTTCACGTCAATTGTTTTATATATTCAGTAAAATATTTGATATATATCAATTAAATTATGATGATAACCTATAATATATTATATTGAAATGTCAAAGTCTCTTCTTCAAGTTTGATTTGATCAAACTACTTTAATAAATAATAAAATGAGAATCTTTATTTTTCTATTTGCTTTGCAAAAATTATATGACAACTCGAAAAAGGAAAAGAAATTAAAAATCCAACAAGCATGAAATTTGTTCAAGAGTCCAAGAAAAAGGAAGCAAAAAGGGGGATTCCTTTTTGGTGCTTAGCATGACAAAGAAGAATGAAAATATGGTATTAGATGAATAGGTGAAAGATAAGCAAGGTAAGGAAGGAATAAAGTGCATTTCCACTACCATCTAACATATTCCCGTTTTGATGCTTATGGCTTAGAGATTTAAAGGAGGTTGATTAATGGATACAATCCTTGTTTAAGATTACAAGCATCTTAGGGTCCATCATTCAAAGGGTGACTTAAAAGAGGTGATCATGTGGTGTGTGGTGTGTGGTGTGTGGTCTTAACTTCATAACAAACATTTATGTATGTACCCGCAAAATGCGAGTCGGTGGATACCTGAAAATTGACACCAAATTAGAGAACTTATCAAATCAATTGCTTCATTTATATTTTCTTTGCATTTTAGGGTTATATGGAATTTGAGTTCTCTTAGTATTTTATATTTGAGTTAATCACCTATACACTACCAGTGTAAAGTTTTTTTACATTGATAACTAATTATATCTTTTAATTGTGTTATGTCACTATCAAAAGTAAATGTGTTTATAGTGATATGACACAATTAAAATATATAATTGGTTACCAGTGTAAAAAAACTTTACACTGACAGTGTATAGGTGATTAACTCTTTATATTTTTTTATGTAGATTTTTATATAAGATGAATTTGACGATAAGTAATTTTATTTGAACCGGGAATTTTACAAATTCAATAAATTTAAATTTGGTATTTGAACTACTTTGATTTCAATTTTTATCATTCTAAAAATATTTTTTTTGGATAAGTCAATTTCAAAATTTTAAATTTTTACAAACTAATTTTAAAATATTTAATAATTTTAAAAATTAATATTAAATAATATTTAATAATTTTAAAAATATTTTTAAATATTTAATAATTAAAAGAATGAAAAGATAAGAGATAAGATAAAATATATAAGTAAAATAAGAAAAATAAATATGAAAATTTTCAAATTCTTACTTTTTTAGGAGAATTTAAAATTCTACTATTTTAAGAAATTTTATAAATATTTAAATTTCAAAATCTTTGTAAATTCTCCATCCAAATAAAACATTTCACTTCAAAGAATTTGAAATTCTTCAAATAAATAAATTATCTTATTTAAATTTCATATTGAAACACACTCTAAAATATTGATAATTAATTCTAATCTTACATGTCATCATATTTTACCCTAATTTAAACTTTTCGCTAAAAAAGAAAGAGAATTCTCACGATCATCCTAAGCCAATAAATATTTCCTATAAGGATATGATTGAATCGGTAGAAAAGATGAAAAGAAATAAATATATATTAATTTTGTTGCTTGACTTGTTTAGAAAAAAATGAAAATATAGTTTTTCGCATTCCGATGGACTCAAGTAAAAAAAATAATTTAAAATAAGTGCTTCAATTTATATCACAAGATTAAAGTCATTACAATACTTTATTATGACAAAAAGAAAAAAAAAAGGAAAAAATACAACAAAAGAAAGACAAATAAATAAGGGTGATACATGTGTATGTGTGGGCCCATGCACGTGTTGGGACGACTTAGCCTAATTGTGTATCAACAACACCTTATTGAGATAATGATTATTAGTACAAAAAAGTAATATCCATGGCAACACACTGGTGTATATTCTCTTATGAGGAAAGGAGTTTAGCAGCGACACTTGTTCTTGCATGTGGAACACAAAGGAGATGATGTTCCCTTGGAACGGTGAGGCCAGGTCTCTCTTCCATGCTTACTTTGGCGTCATTACCTTTCAATATTTGTCCGTTTGGACCAACCACTTGCAGGTCAAAGCATTGGATAACAGATGCAAGGAACGTTGCCATTCCTGAAGTAGCCAAATTCACTCCAGGGCACATTCTCCTACCTGACCCAAATGGGAGAAGCTGAAAATGTTGACCCCTAAGATCAATAGGTCCTACATCACCTTCACCACCATTTTCTAAAAATCTTTCAGGGCGAAATTCCGCTGGTCTGTCCCAATATTTGGGGTCTCTTCCTACAGCCCAAACATTGAATAGTATCAAAGCTCCTTCTGGGATCACATAGCCGTTGATCTCACACTCTTCTGTGCATTTTCTTTTGACCACAGGGAGTGGTGGATGCATGCGGAATGTCTCCTTCACAACGGCTCTGATGTAAGGAAGGTTTTGAATATCAGCTTCATCAACAAGTCTATCTTTTCCCACAACACTCTCCACCTCCTCTCGGGCCTTTTGCAACACTCTAGGGTTGTTGATAAGCTCTGCCAGAGCCCAATCTGTTGCCACAGCTGTGGAATCTGTCCCCGCAGAGAAGAAATCCTACATACAACAAGAGTGTATTCATTAGTTAAGTCACTATGGAGATAAAAGAAATTTTGAGTCTGTTTGAATAATACTCTTTATTTTTAGTAGATAAACTTTCAATATTGTATCAGTCTAAACATGCTCTAACTAAGTGACCACTATTGATCTTAACCATAGTATGTAGTTAATATCACAAAGGCTTCCAAGAAAAAAAAGAAAAGGAGTAGGAAACTTACGACAACAAGACCCTTGATTTGCTCCTTAGTAATTTTGATCTCCATGGTCTCGTCCTCAGCGAATTCAAGCAAAGTATCGAGGAAAACCACGCTCTCCTCACTCTCTTCATTTTTTGCCTTCTTCTCCTTTCTCTTTCTCACGATCTCTTGGCGCTTCTTGATAACCTTTTCAATGACTGGGTCAAACCTGTTGAATATTTCTTCAATCCTCTTCTCATACTGTCCAAACTTAAGCTTCTTCAAGGGCCAAATGAAGTCAGTAAGACTGTATTCTCCAAAAATCTTAACGGTCTCACGTGCCATGTCTTTAACCTCTTCGGCCTCACCCAACATCAACATTGAGATGGTGTTGTTGGTCCACTTCAGAAGCTCCTCGGTGATGTCAAGGGTTTGTTGGGTCTTTGCACTTTGAGCAAACACCCTCAAAACCTTTCTAATCTCTTGAGTCCTCAGTGGCCTCAACTTGTTAACGGTGGTGGCGTTGAGGAGGTCGTTCATGATGAGTTTTCTAACGAACTTCCAGTATGGTCCAAAGGGAACCATGGCCACGGTATATATATATTTACATCATAAATAATAATATAACGTCAGGGTATAAAAGTTAAGCGCATCTTCCGAATTGACAAAACTCCAGGACCACAAAAGTTGCAAGTTCTTCAATGGTGTGTATGTGTCTATCTACATGGGATAAGATTAATTAATATCATGTAAAGTTTTTATATTTATACCACTTTATAATTTTATATAAAATGCAAAATTAATCATTTTAATCACTTTATTAAGTTTAATGTAAATAAAAAAATGTATTGTTACTTTATTAGACTATTTTATTTTGATGAATAATATGTTATTAAAAATATAAATATATGTTTATGGTTAAATAGCATACTATGAATTTATGTCCAGTAACACTTGTATTTCTGTTAATGTTTCGTTATTAATTTGATTGAAATAATTTTCAAGTACAAATGTTATTTAAGATATGAAATTTAATTATTTATAATTTTTTGTGAATTCTTGTTTATGTTTCGGTTATAGGCCATTATTCAAATTTAGTTATGGGCCATTTTGCATGGGCTTCGCATTATTCAATCTCGTAAACTTAGTGGTGGAGTTATGGTTGAATCTGATTCTTCATTGACATTTCGGTTAATCCTTAAAGGTTGTTCTTCGGCACACCCATGCTCTACCTTGGTGCAGGAAATAGTAGAGCTCACAAGACAAGTGAATTTCGTTTCATTTACCCATATTCTTAGGGAAGCTAATAAAGTTGCTGACTCTTTGGATAAATATAAATTGCCATTAGATGATGTTATGACAATTTTCAATTCCCCTCCTGAGTTTCTTCATAATTTGTTAGATGTAGATAAGTTTAGTAGTTTTCCTTTGAGAATCTTGTAGTTGGGCTTTTAGCCCCCTTGTTTACCAAAAAAAAAAAAACTAAAGACTAAATTGAGCTGTGAAACAGGCAATAAAAATTTATTGATTTCTATGAGTAAATTGTTAAATATTTCAAAAGAATTACTCCCTCCGTAAGAATCATATAAAAAGAAAATTCAAGTCATAAAATAAGTGTTATTTTAATTTTAAAAGAAGCATCGTGACATTTTATTTTTTTATAAAAAATAAAATAATATAGTTATATAATTATAATTTCCTTTGTTGGCTTAATTAAATTTAGTTAATTAGGCTTCTCAAATAAATTGAGGCTGATTTATAAAATAAAATAAGTTGGATTTAGTGAGTTATAGTCTTATAGGTTAAGTAAAGGGGCTTTGGACACTCCGAATCTCAATTTAAACATTGAATCTGTCAAAACCAATAGAGTTACATGCTTCAAAAAAGTTGTCCGGCTTGTTTTGGCACTTGAGAAAAATTGAAGAGGAGGAGACTTTGCCTAAGAAACTTAGGGAGCGAAATTTGGAAACTTGAGTCATACCCCGAAGTTGTGAGATAGTCATCTGAGATAAGAAGAAAGTGAAGCTTATCTCTCATATGGCATGTAAAAGAAATGTGGGAAGTGAAACAATTTTTAAGCCTATGTATGTTTTGATGTATGCGATCAGAGGAGATATGAAAATTTCAAAGGAGTGTTGATAACATGTGTAGCATGAATTGTGCTCATTGAATGATTTGATTAGTTGATTTCAAGGGAAATGAGTTTTCTACTCACTTTTACTTACTTAAGGTTTTTTTTGTTTGATATTAGGTATTTTGTGCAATTGTAACTCTATGTATAATTGGTAATTGAATTGACTAATTAATTGAGTTAAAGAAGAGTTAGAATTCTTAGTTTGGGCTTTAATTTGTATATGAATAAATTGGATAAATATAGACTTATAAAGACATGTAAAAGAGATAATTTTGTAGTTTTTGCAAATTACATGAAAATGTCATATTGTCAAGTGTGGGATGATGGCATTGGATGTCAAATTCCTTGGAAACCTTATGGTTATATGTCTCAATGACACCAAAGAGACTGTGTCATGTGTGACACTTTCAGTGAGTCATGAGAGGTTTTGGTGTTAAGTGTAATTGCCTTAATTTGTTGGGCGTCATTTGAAGTCGAATTTTACAAAGATGGGGCATTAAATATGGCCTCAACTATAGGTGTGAGAGTTTCAAAGTGTTTGGCTTGAGTATACATAAATAAATAATTGTTATCACAATAAAAATAATTTAACCTTGAAAATCATTGAGAATACATAGTAAAGTTTATAAACATATTAGAGAATAATGTATAATGTTGGGTATAAATAATAAATAATAATTTGGAAGTGTTAGTGAAAGCAATGTTGTGATATGAGTTATGTGTGCAATAAAAATTAAAATGTGCTATGAAACAAACAATAAAAGTTTATATTGATTTCTAGGAGTAAACAATTAAATATTTCATACAAATTCCTTATTCTGTCTCGTAATAAACATTGTGTTATCTTGATTCGACTATGATAAAGACATTAGTCATTCAATATTAGATTTGAATGGAAGTTGTAATGTTGATGAAGACATTACTCATTTGTTACCAAACCTATATAGAAGTTGTAACATTACACATGTTTTACTTTGTGCAGGTGCGTTTAATTTTGACATAAATGGAGCTTCTACTAGGGTTTTCTTTATTCTCTCTCATCATTTCTCTTCCCTAAATATTGACATAGGTATCTCAAACCATTCTTAAGATTAAACACTCAAAGGGTGAAACAATTCAGTATCACTACTCATAAGTTGTATTTTCATAACTTAATCTTCTATGATCTTGTGTGGTCCAAACATGATATAAAGTTATATTCATGCTATCAAGTTAATCTTAATTTTGTTAGAAAACTAAGACAATTATATGCAAATTTTGTCTTGATCTCAGGAGTTGACTCTACAATCTACTACTTTTTAAAATTACAAAATCACAATGTTTTAGCCTAAATCTAACTACTTGACCTCTACTCACTAATTTGATCATGACTTGAGTTATAGACCTTCGTTCTAGGTAATTCTAATGAAATTTGAAAGCTAACATCTAGGGGGTACAACTTTCATGAAGATCATAAAAGCAAATTTGATCATCTACTCACTTAAACAAGCCAATTATTCACTTAAGCAAGAATCCATTCACTCGAAGTGAGCTAAAATTCACATAAGTATGTTGCTACCTGAAACTTTTTGTTTTAGACTCGCTTGAGCAAATCCTAAGGTCACTTTAGTGAGCCTAAATTTTCTTTGAGCAAGTCTAAGGTCACTTGAGTGAGTTGTGATAGTTTAAAACCCAATATTATATGGTTCATAGGTTTCTAACCTTTCCCTA